GAGGTCCTATGTTGTTGCAGGAAGTACTAGTTCTTCGTCTGTGTCCTACTATAGGAAAATAATTGAAGGCACTGAAGTTGTCCAGGTACAAGCAGTCTTGTTTTCTTTCAGCTTCTGTAGGCACAAAAATGACTTCGGCCAAGAGTGGCAGTATTTAAGAGAGGGGTTTATTTTCTATTGGCTTTTCTGTGGTTTTTTTTTTTTTTTGAAATTCACTTTTATTAAGGTATAATAAACATATTAAAGGCACACACATAAGTACACAGTTCGAAGTAAGCACTCTATACACTTGCTCAGTCTTTACAAGAAAGTACCTTTCTTACTTTCATTCTACAAATAAAGTTAAGCACCATGAAGTAACTTGTCTAAGATCATCCAGGTATTAGGCAGAAAAGCTGGGGTTCAGACCTGGCTATTGGAACTCCAAAGCTTATGTTCTTGAGTTGGGCAAAAACTTCATGTGAGATAATGAATCTGCAAGTGCCTGGGTCCTAGAAGGTGCTCAGTAAATGAATGAAAGCTTCCTTTATGACAGATAAGTATTTGCGTCCATATCCTGGTCATTTATACCCCTTTAATATAGGCTTTCTCTTTTTTCTTCTCATGGTGGCAGAAGGTAATACGGAAAATTTATAAACAGGCCAATAATTTGTACATATTTGTAAGTGGCCTACTTGTGGAAAACAGTATCATTTTGGACTCTTTTACTCAGTGTATTTGTGAAAGGATGACTACTTCACAGAAAGTTTTAGCTTTAATGACAACAACCTGTCCCAGAAGCAACAATATTGATAAGAGGTACAATGTAGTACAGGCTTTTAACTTCTGGCATTCTCCCTGACTTCTAACCATTAAACAGGAGATCCAGAATAAGCAGAAGGTGGGACCAAGTGATGACACCCCTCGGAGGGGCCCAGAATCTCTGCCTGTGGGACATCACGACATCATCACAGATGTGGCCACCTTCCAGACAACGCAGGGCTTCATTGTTACTGCATCTAGAGATGGGATTGTTAAGGTGTGGAAATGAAAAACTAGTGGTTTGTAAAATTTGTAATAAAGTTATATATATACTGTAACTTGAGAGGAAAGGTATTTTTAGAGGACAGAAGTGAGATTCCTTTTCAAAATCGTGTCTGTATATTTACTATTTCATTATTAAACAGATCCCATCCAAGGTGGTTAAGGAAGTTGCACTCGACTAATAAGCTCATGCATATCTCTGCAGGAATCAGCCAGACAACAGTATCTGGGACTTTTTATTGTATAGGTCACAGAGGTGAGGAATTTAAAATGCTAAGACTTACATGACCTAAGTTTACTTTGTATTGAAAAAAGTGGTTGTAAGCTATTAACAATGTAAACACATTTTTGCTATTAAAAGTGCTATTCAAACCAGCTAATAAACTGTATTCAAGCATCTTAAGTTTTTGTTTGTTTGTATTTTTTTTTTTTTTGGTGTTTTAAACAGTAAACCTGAGCAGAATAGTAAACTCTTCAGCAATATTTGTTCTGAAGAAATGGACTCAGTGTCACAAAGAATCTGTGTCAGAAATAAGTCTTATGCCCACATTTCTGGACTTGCAGTATTGTTCTTTCTGCTTTATATCTTTCTTCCTGATTTACAGTCTGCCTGATTATTTAACATTGGAACTGATCTGTGTGTCGACCCTTGAAAAATGTCTCTCCTTGGCCATTCTACTTGCTTTTGTCCAGTGTCAGTTAACTAAGCTGTTAAAAACATGCCAAACCTCTATACTTTTAAATTAAGACAAATTGGCCTTCCCCACAAAAATAAACCCTTCAGGCTTATCAATTATTATTTGTTTTTTTTTTTTTTTTATCAATTATTATCTGTACATGAACCTAATTGTCTCTTCACATTTAATTGTCATCCATTTGCTGAAGGGTTTATGGTGTTTAAAATACTTCATTTTTAAATTAGTTACATGAGTCTGTAAACCAAAGAGTTAAGTAGATAATCTGATTCTGGGGAAAACAGTACTTAAATTTAATTTTCTGTAATTATAGGATTCCATTATGGTACATGACAGTTTGCAGTGCATAGGTCTGTCTTTACAATTCAGTGCACTTAGTTTTTGTTTACCTAAGCTCATCAGAAAACCCTGTCATTCACAAAGGCCTGAGTTAGGAGTCTGGACCCTGACAAGGCTAGATAGCTAGTGGAACTGAAGGATTTGCAAAATTTGACACTGTCCTGTTACATTGCTTCTGCTTTCCTTTGTGTCTGTTAAGACCATATATCCAGAGTTTCTAGCTATTAAGTCAGATTTCATGTCTGCAGAGGTTGGAGGTCACCTGTTTGTGACAAACCTTTGGCCTTAGAAAGGCATTAAGCCTGGAGCCATTAGTGAAGTCACATGACTGACAAGCATGTAGAGAGGAAAAAAATGGAGTGGGCCAGTGGAGATGTGATCCTTTTTTCCCCTTATCTTCCTGCCATCCATTCCTCTTCCCACTTAAACTCCCCTTTAGAAAAGGGGGGCACTTGGTTGAATTGTTACTGAGTATTGCAATCTAAGGCTCTGTTGACTTGCATCTTTTTTAACCTTTTTTTTTTTAAACATGCTTGACTCATAGCTTACTGCCGAGATAATAGGCATGTCCCTTATAGTCAATTAATTTACATGTTTAAACCAGGAAGCACCACTGCCTATTTATGTGATTCTTGGTTTAAATAGGCGTTTAGTTAATTTATATTCACATTTTTGCTGTTTTTTTCCTTTAGAGAAAGAGGTAAATCGTGGGAAATGCTAATATTAGAGATTTCAAAAAAGGAACTTAGTAAATTTACAGTATGTTTCAAACCCTTCATCTATTAAGGATTAAAAAGATGAGCAGGGGGGGCGCTTGGGTGGCTCAGTGGGTTAAAGCCTCTGCCTTCGGCTCAGGTCATGATCCCGGGGTCCTGGGATCGGGCCCTATATCGGGCTCTCTGCTCCGCGGGGAGCCTGCTTCCTCCTCCTCTCTCTCTGCCTGCCTGTCTGCCTACTTGTGATCTCTGTCAAGTAAATAAATAAAATCTTAAAAAAAAAATGCTAAATAATCTCAATTACCAAGGGCAAAAATTTTTGGTGTACTTTATCAATGCAGAGAAAGTAGACAAATACATTTTTAAAGTATTGCTAGCAATAAACAGGAGGAGTTTTTGCTTAATCCAAAGTTAACCAGAAAAATCCTTTTTCATATTTTATTTATTTATTTGACAGAGATCACAAGTAGGCAGAGAGGCAGGCAGAGAGAGAGAGAGGAGGAAGCAGGCTCCCCGCTGAGCAGAGAGCCCGATGCAGGGCTCAATCCCAGCACCCTGGGATCATGACCTGAGCTGAAGGCAGAGGCTTTAACCCACTGAGCCACCCAGGCGCCCCAGAAAAATCCCTTTTATTAGAATACTTCTTAAATATTGCTCATCATTTTCCTCTACGTGAAACATGAAGTTTTCCTGAACCCCTAAGCACCGCTTAGGATATGAATAAAATTGATGTGCTCTATCCATCTGTTTCCTGAGTATGAATATGACATTGGGGGCTAACTATGGAGTTGCCTGAGTAAGGATGGCAGAAGTGGTTTTAAAACACAGTGGAGATGATCTTTCTTTCCTAGCTTTTATGAGGAGAGATCTAGAAAAGAAAATCACCTACTCGTCTTTGGAGTCAGTAGCCATCTGCTCCACGCATTCAGGCAGGGTGTCCCTCCTTGAAGAGAGTGACGTTCTACCAAGCAGGGCCATTGCTACCAACTCTGGAGCCAGCACTGAGAATTTGAGGTAAGGCCCAAACATTGTGTCTAAATTAATTAATTTGGTCTTTAGTTGTTGAAAATACTAGCCCATCATAAGATTAAGAATTCGTGATCTGGATGGATGGGTTGAGGGAGCAAGCTGTCAGAATGCTATTGGAGGCTAGGCATTCGGAAGACCTTTCTTCAACTTACTTTGATCTCTGTGCATCTCTTTACATCTCTGCAATTCCAAATGGATTTGTGGATTAAAACATTAACAACTTAATCTTTTCCAAACTCAATATGCCTTTAAAACTACTTAGATCTCAGTCAGTCCTATTTGGTACTGCTTACTATTGACTAAATAGCTATCTTACGGGTGAAAGTAACTCAGCTTCACCTATGACCAGTTGTCTTTACTCTCCTTGTCTAAAGAATGTATGGATTAGTGAAAAATAATATATTTAACGATGGTAAATAATAAAAGTCCATCAAAATGGCCAGGCAGGAGGCCCTATATAGTGAAGGAACTTCTATCTCAAAAGCAATTATTTATGTTTGGGGGGAATTAACAAGTTTCTCAGTGAGTTAAGGAGTAGTTGGAGCAGAGAACATTATTCTCTGCTTTTTACCTATCCTAGCAAGCAACTGCAGAAAGTGGGAGGAAACCTTCCAACACAAGCCTATCAGAAAGCTGGCCACTCCACAGAGTCAGTGATGTGTTTAAATGGTATCATGGAAAGCCAGATTATCAAAATTATGACATATAAGCATCAGTTTGTAAATGGAAATGTTGAGGTCTTTAAAACATTAACCTTTGGTTAAACGTGAGCATTAAACTGTATTAAGTAGAGAATGGAAGCTTGGTTTGCAGAAAGTGGACTGAACAGAGACCTGCAATTAAAAGAATTAGCACTGGCTTATGTATATACTATGTAAAATTTACCTTCAGATTATATCTCCATTGAACTTTGCAGAACACTTCTTTGATTCTTCCATCTTTTAATGCTAAGAGTTCTTGAATATATCAGAGTGCTGGAATTATGAGATATGCTCCAATAAATGGACAAGATTGACCTTAATACTGATGAGTGCAAAGGGTTAAATTGCCTAATAATCTACAACCTGTGTTTTGTCCAGCCCTCCAGATTGGACTTGTGGATATGGGTGGATATCCAAATAAAAGTTTCCCATAGTTATGGCAATGAATTTAGTTAGTTAAATCCACAGTTTTACCATGCTTCCTAAGGCTAAATTCTTCAAGCACTTCCTTTATCATATTGTTTTGGAGCAGTTTTTATCACCTTTTTTCCATTTTTAAAGGTATGGAATGTGTTTCTGGTAAGATTTCGAATAATATCATCACTGCTGCCTCTTGCTACTCTTGGAAGATATTTTTTATCTTGAAAGAACTTTGCCTTCTGTAATACATCTTCTTTGAGGGCAGTTTTATGTGGTCCAGGAATAAAGCTGTGCAACAAAAGAAGAGAAACATCACAGAAGATAAATGCCATTTCAACTTTAATAGACTATATTAATTCTGTCTTCCTAAATGTTGTCCCCATTCCTTGTTGCATCCTTCCTAGATGTACACTGTGCAGAAATACCAGAAGCTGAGACTGTGACATAAGACATCTTGTCAAAATATGCAAAATCATTTCAACAGCAAAGTTTCCTCTTCATGGAACATGTTCTACCCAGAACTTCATATGGCTGGCTTCCTCTGATTATTCAGGTCAGAGGTCAAATAGTACACCTCATTAGAGACTGCTACAGCTATAGTTTTCTCAGCACAATATGTTTATCTCACAACATATCACTGTCTGAACTTTTATTTACTTATAAACCTCTTTGTGATCTGTTCTCTATTCTACCCTCCCAGACAGAAAATTTCACAAGACGATACCTGGTAATCATAGTAATCCCAGGAATCTTAGAAGAGCATATAGTAGATACTCAATAAACATTTATAAATTGTTGAACACTACATCAAAAAGTAATGATGTACTATATGTTGGCTAACTGAACATAATAAAAAAAAGAGAAAAACCACAATTATCTAATGAAAACATGAAACTCCCTTCTTTCCTTTCTCCCTCCCACCCATCCATTCTTCCTTCCTTCCGTCTGTCCATCTATCCATATGTTGACTCTCTGTGGAAAGCACTAGGTTATGTATAGTGGGGGACATAGAGATAACACTCAGTCTGGTAGGCACATAAAGAGTCTGTCAACTGTAAAGGACAGCTGGGGTCAGACTCTGGAAGGCCAGAATGCCAGATTGACAGGTCAAGGAATCATAGAAGTCAAGTACTGACGGGAAGTCCTAACCTTATCCAATAAAACTGTGCTGTTGGAAATGTCCTATAATTCACTGGCCAGTATGGCAGTCACTAGCCACATATACCTATTGAGCACTTGAAATATGGTTAGTGTGACTGAGGAACTGAATTTATAATTTCATTTAATTGAAAGCTAGTGGTTACCATATTAGCGCAGGAAGGGAGCCATTTCAGACAACCTTATTTTACAGGGAGGTGATAGAAAGACCTTTAGGTCCATAAACGTTCTTCTATTCCAGCTGCACTACTTACTGGCTGAGAGCAGCTCTGAGCAAACCACTTAACTAGAGTGATTCTTGTGTCTTCAGGTGTAAAACGGTAATAAAGACAACCTATGTTGTGAGCAACATTCGAAATCCCCTAGGCTGATTACCATGGTGCTCTGTTGGTTACAGATGAGGAAACTGACTGCACATAGAGGTGAATATCAGGGACAGAACTGAGACTATAACCCAACATTCTGATACTAAGAGCTTGGTGTTACTTACATTGAACTTGATTTTTATCTGGGACACTATGAAAAACTATCAAGATATTTATTTATTAAAATATTTTATTTATTGTGGCACCTGGGTGGCTCGGTCAATTAAGCATATGCCTTTGGCTCAGGTCATGATCCCAGGGTCTTGGGATCAAGCCCCATATCAAGTTCCCCACTTGATGGGGAGTCTGCTTCTCCTTCTGCCCCTTTCCCCCCACTTGTGTTCTGTCTCTCTCAAATAAAAAAATCTTAAAAAAAAGTTTATTTAATTGAGAGAGAGCATGTGAGAAAGCATGGTGGGGGGAAGGCAGAGGGAGAAGCAGACTTCCTGCTGAGCAGGCCCAAGGCAGCCACTTAACTGACTGAGCCACCCAGCTGCCCCAACTATCAAGATATTTAGAATAAGAAAGTGAAATGAAAAAAAAGTCATGCTGTTAGGAACACCTGGGTATGGGTACAGAACCATAGGAAAGGAAATGCCCTGGGGCAGGCTGGATAGTTAAGAAGGTATGAGGACCTTGGCATATAAGCTCTTTGTAAATATTTTTAGAATGAATGTGTGAGAGCCTGGTTACATAAGAAGAGGTTTACCAATACTGATAAACCTCAAACATTTGCTGAATCCTGGTCAAGGGAAGAGTGGAGAGAACTCCAAAACATTGACATCAGAAAAGCAGAGCCAGTATTCACTACGATCCATTTCTTCATATTTGAATTTTTCTGCTTTCATGAGCTTTAAACCTGATCTCTTATGAAAACAAAGATATTTAGAAAACAAGTATGTGAAAGATAAAGAATTTAAAGTTAGTTCACATCTTTCTCTCACGTACACATGACATACATGCATGCATATGTGCACACACGCACACTCCACATAGTCCTCTTGCCTCTATATTGAGAGCTAGAAGCAAAGGAGACATCAAATCAACAAAGAACCATGCCATTATATACTACATGTCTGGGCTTCTGAAATTCTAATCCTAAAGTATATCTCCATTCACTTCCATCAGTGCTATCTGGAATATACCAAGTTGATCAACAGACTTCTCCCAGTTACCAAGAAAGCTAATTTCAGTGCAAATAGAATTTCTCACACCTTCTCCCATTTTTGCTCTTCTATTTTCTTATTTCCAGAACTAAATATTAGGACCTCAAATTCTCCAGAGCTGTAATTGTTTATATGTGCAGAACATGGCTTCACCAATCATGGAGAATGTATGCTTTTGAATCTCGATCACACCATTTTCATGTCTTGGTTCCCCTCCCCCAACCTCCCTCTTTCTATTGGATCCTTTTTATGATAAGTTGTTATCTTTGTTATATTCCTCCCTCTCTTTGTTAAGAAAAAGCTGTTAAACTGGTAAATATGACATTGCTATCTTTTCCCCCCAAATTTGATTCTCAAAAGGTTTGAACATGATAAATATTATGTCTCTGGACTTTTTTCACTAGTATACACAGGAGCTTGTATTTGATTAGCATCAGGTAAGAATCATTTGATTACCCTGTTTGGGAACCATATAGAATTCCTGTTTTTCCTTTTATCCCATATTGTTGAAATACTTCTTTACTGATTGGTAACTCCAATAATAGGCAGTCAAGATAAAGAAACAGGAATGAAATACAGCCAGTCAATTTGCATCCTGTACCCAACTCTAGTAAAGCTTGTGTAAAGTCTGGCGGCTAGACAAAATGAGGTGGATAGGACTCTGTAGATTTCAGTTCTCTGTGATGACAGATCCCTCCATCTATGCAGATAATCAGGAGTCAACTCTGCTGCATTTACTAGTTGACTGGATGCACTGGAGTCAAAAATGCAGACAAGAGTGCCTCTATTTCGGGAATCCTTTTTAATATGCATCTTGTGTGTCTAGAAAACATACTTTGGAAGGTAGAATTACAACAGATGTCTTATTCATATGACATTGGTGACTCTGTCCATTTTTTACAATTTGATTGTTCTGGCTCTGGTCTGTCAGCGCTTTCAAGTCTGGCACAACAGCTTCCCTCACTGGATGAAGCTATAAGCAGGGGCTTTCTGTCTTTTATTGTCTCTGAGTGGATCTAAGCACTTATGAAGAGGCTGCCTTACAGTCTCACCCTTACTGGCCATCTGTCTCCTTGATTGCTTGTGTTCAGTTCCTATCTTTTCCATCTGGTAAGAACCAGCTTCTACCTCTATTTCTCAAAATCTCACAGTGGAATCATCTAATTCTTATGCAAGTCATTCTGAGACTTGGCAAGTCATCTTTATGGCCAGGCATCTTGCCTAACAGGCATTCTCAGCTCCCTCAATTATGTGCTCAATTCTGCCTCACTTCTCTTGAAAGGCTCAGGCAGGGAGTTTGTGAAGCATCTGTGTGGCTTGTTACTTTTTATTACGGTCTTTGGTCACTTAGAGAAGGCCTGCGGTGTCCTAGGCTGTCTCCATCAAGAAGTTCAGCCACAGTGGTATGGATTTCATGTCTCAATTCCTGATGTCCCAGCCATTTCCTGTCATTTCTCTGTTTCAGATTCATAGGAGAAGCTGAGCCTCAAGGATAGCTGGGCAATGTGAAGAAGGGAGGAAACATCCTGTCGAATAGTACCATGAATCCCCTCTGTTCATGTTGATCTTTGAACAAAATGCATGGTAGGAATAGTTTCCAAAAATGGGTTTTAATTTTTATAGGCTGGCTTCAGTGTCTGCCTTTGGCGATTATGGCCAGCTACATATTATGTGGAGCCTAGTGCAAATGCAGATGGGAAGCTCCTTTCCATGCTGCCAGACACCTGCAGCAGGGGGAGCCCTGCTCTTTGTGGACCGACCGCACAGGCCTGCTTTAGGCCTGAATTCAGGAAGCATTTGCTGCTGGACAGTTCCCTGCTTCCCAGCAAGGTAAGCACATTTGAAGCAGAGGCTTCTCAGAGCTTCTGGAGCTGGGGCATCTGGATTGAGAGTGCCTCTCTGGCCCCGATCACCACACAGAAATTCAGACACTGCACACTAAAAGTAGGCACACACTATTCAAGGCATTTGCCTAAGTGTGATTCCCAGGGGCTAGTACACATTTGATTTCACTCAGATGTGGGGCCCACATGTGTATGGCAGTACAGTATGATTTTTCCACTGAGACACTCGCCTAACTACAAATCATTTCTAATTAAAAAAAAAAAGTAATGTTCATACAAAAAAAATATGTATATTATTACGTTTTAAGAGAACTTTTGCCTTTATTGATACTCTTAAAATATCTTAATTAAAAAATATTAAGTTCTACTCTGATTCCTTTCTTTGGGTATATATATTTTTTCTTCTATAACATCTCAAGAGCAATGTTTATCTTATTACCTTTTAGAGTTCTAAATTTTCCCTAACATAAGACTTAAGACTATAAACTTTCCTAAGTTATGACTTCTGACATGTCCCACAAATTCTGACATAACATCTTGATTATTATACAGTTCTAAGTGTTTTAAAGTTTTCATTATATTTCTTTACCTTATTTAGAAATGTGATTTTAGTTTAAAAATGTATGGACTTTAAAAACCTTTTTATTTAATTTCTAACTTAATCGAATTCCAATCAGTTTGGACTGTATGACACTAGTTCTTAGAGCTGTGTTGACACCTACTTGATAAGTTAAAAACTGCACCATGAACACCTGGTAAACTCTCCACCTTGATTCAACTAGCTGTTAATGTTACCTGTGTTCTTCGGAAGAATGTCTTGTTGCTCTATGCATGGTTCTAAATGAACCTATTAAATCAAGTTTGTTACTTATGATGAAATCTTTAATGTCTTTACTCATTTTTGTTTGCTTGACCATTCAGTGTTCAAACTGGTGTACTGAAGGGCACCTGGGTGGCTCAGTGGGTTAAGCTGCTGCCTTTGGCTCAGATCATGATCTCAGGGTCCTGGGATCGAACCCCGCATAGGGCTCTCTGCTCAGCAGGGAGCCTGCTTCCCTTCCTCTCTCACTGACTGCCTCTCTGCCTACTTGTGATCTCTGTCGAATAAATAAATAAAATCTTAAAAAAAAAATGGTGTACTGAAATCTCCTACTCTAATGATAGTTCAGTGGCAATTTCTCCTTGCAGTTTTTTAATCTCCACTTTGTGTCTTTTAAGATTTTGTTACCCTCTTAGAAATCTGGAATTGTTAAATCTTCTTCATGAATTGAACACTTTGTCACCATGCAGTGGCTTTTTATCCCTGTAATACGGTTTCGTTAAAGAGAATATTTTATTTGATACTAATATGTTATATTCTAGTTTTGTTTTTCTGGTTACAGTAGTTTCCAGATTTTAAAAAAATTTACCTGATATTTTCCTTACAATTTTTCTTCCAACTTTTCCTTGTCCTTATTTTGTGGCCGTGTCTCTATAATTGAAAGCAAGTTATAGCTGGATTTTATTTTGTTTCTTAAGTCCATCCATCTCTGTAACTGACATGTTTAGTTTGTGTTTATGACAACCCCTAATATATTTCAGTGGATTTGATTCTGTTTTAATTTCATGCTATTTGTCCTCCCCCACCTTTTCTCACCCTTTTATTTTGTGTTTTTTTTTTTTAGATTTTACTTATTTATTTGACAGAGAGAGACAGAGAGAGATCACAAGTAGGCAGAGAGAGAGGGGGAAGTGGCTTCCCGTTGAGCAGAGAGCCTGATGCGGGGCTCGATCCCAGGACCCTGAGATCATGACCTGAGCCGAAGGCAGAGGCTTAAACCTCTGAGCCACCTGGGTGCCACTTTCTCACCCTTAAAAAATATATATTTATGTTGTTTTTATTCCGTTTTCCTGCACTACTTTTTTGGTAGTTAGCTACTTTCCATATTTCTTTTTCACAGGCGCCGTCATAATTTCTAGTGGATTTTTAAGAGAGTCTAAATTTTTCAGTAGCCTGCCAGCCCAAATATTTCAAGTTCCTAGAACCCTTAACTCCATTTACCTCTACATGACATGTCTTATTATTGTTCCATTTTTCAGTACCACCTTTTTTACCTTACAGGCTCAACTTCATTTTTTTAAATAAAAGATTATTTTATTGTCCAATATATTTTCTCAAGTTTAAATAATATTTGTTAATATGTATTGTCTTAGTACAATTTTTTTTTCTGTTAAACCACTAGGTGGTTTATTTTTTTTTTCGTACCTTTGTTAACCAAAAAAATGGCTTTTTTGTAACCCTACAAATTAGATATTATTATTACTTAAAAATCTAGCATTTAGATTTTCCTAAATATTGTCAAATTTTGATGATTTATTAGTGTTCCATCTCAGCTTTTCCTTCCATAGTCATTTTTATTTTTCTTGAACTATGTACTTCAGAAGTTCCTTTAGTAAAGGTCTTTGTGGTGAACGGTTGTTTTTTGTTTATCCTAATTATCTTTGTTATACCATTATTTTTAAAAGTCGGTTTAAGTTGATCAAAATATTCTTCCATTAGTTTAGAAGTTCTTAACAGTTTTGCGGCTTCCACTATTGCTACTGATAATCCAGCTGCCAGCCTAATTGTAGTTTCTTTGTAGATAACCTCTCTCTCAGGCTGCTTTTTCCTTTGGCTTGGTTTCTGCATTCTCCTATGCCATGTCCAACTTGCTTTCTTTTTATTTATCCTGCCTCTTGTACCTTGTCTTTTCTTCATCTCTTAATTTATATCTTTCATAAACTCTTGAAAATGCTCATCTCTTCATGTATTTGAATATTATCTCATTTATTATTTGTTTTGTCTGATTTCAAGAATTCCAATTTGATATAGATCTTTCCATTCTGTTCTGTCTCTAAACTTCTTACATGTATCTTCTCTGCATTCTGAGTGATTTTTTCAGCTTTATTTTCCAGTTCATTATGTTTCTCTTTAGATGTGTCTATTATTCTGTTTAATTCATCCACTGAGTTTTATTTTTTAATTCACAGAATAAGAACAAAACTATGAATAAATAAATACCTGTATACTTTTCACCTACCTGGTTCTCCAAATGTTACCATCTTGTTCCTCTGTGTGTGTATATACACATATATGCATACACACATCCATATAAGCATATATACTCATATATGCATGTACACACACACACACAAAAGCCCATCCTATTTTCTTTTAGGAAAACCATCTGAAAATAGGCTGCAGACATTATACATGTTACTTTTAAATACTTCAATATACCTAACCTATCTTAAGAACAAAAACATTCTCTCATATGAGTATATTATTACTACACATAAGGACAGCCACATGAAGCAATAATAGCATTTGACATATTATTCACACTCAGATTTCCTCAGTTGTCCACTAGATGTCATTTATCATAAGCTTTCTTTCTGACCTAGGATCCAGTCAAAGTTCACTCTATTACATTTGATGGTTATGTCTCCTTAGTCTCTCCCACTTTAGAATAGTACCCAACAACCTCTTGCTGCTCATGGCATTGATACCTCGGACTAGTCAGCTATTCTGAAGAAAACTCCACATTCTGGAATTGGCTAATGGTTTCCTCATTATGAGATGTGGGTCAAACATTCCCTGCAAGAATCTCACACAGCTGATGTATCTCCCCCTGCACCACTGCAGGAAGCACATAATGTCGAATCTTGGTCACAGTGGGAACTGCCAGATCTTACCATGTACATGCACATTTCCTTTCTTTGTAATTAATAAGTTAGCACTATGTGAATGTTCTGGGAGACTGTGAAATAGCCTGTTCCCAAATAACCTGTCACCCAGTGGTTTTAGCATTCCTTCATTCTTGCCTAACTCCATTATTACAGTGGAGATTACAAATTGGTGATTTTTAAAAAAAGATTTATTTATACATATTTAATGCATATTTATTAATATGTTTATTTAATATTATTTATAGTAATATTGATTATATTAATATATTAATAAATATTTATACATATCTAATACATACACATATTTAATTTTTTAAAAAGATTTATTCATACATAAATCATGTGCTCTCAGAGAGCGCACATGAGCAGGAGGGGCAGAGGGAGAGGGAGAGAGATTCCCAAGTAGACTCTGCTGAGCACAGAACCCGAGCAGAGCGTGATCTTGTGACTTGGAGATCATGACCTGAGCCAAAACCAAAAGCTGGACACTTAACCAACTGCATCACCCAGGTGCCCCACAAATTGGTGATTTTTTAAATTTTACCGTTTTTTTCTATATTTATTAGGTAGCATACTTCTATAAAAAAAGAGCTTTTACTACCCTCCTCCCTTTTTGGATCTCTATATAGACTTACGGATTTTAAAAATTCATTTTGTTGTAATCCATTAACATTCTTTCTGATATGAAACTGTCCAAAATCAGACCAGTGAGAATCTTTTCAAGATAGCCCCTTTGTCCATTTGACAAGACACTGCTAGTTTTTGGCTACTTCCTTGCTTTCTGGCATAATAAATATTTGAGAGTCGTATTGTACTTCCCAGCTATAGTCTAGAATTTAGCTTTTTCCTCTCCAAGAAACCCTGGTTCCTTTGAGCGGGGAATGATATTTAGAGACCACTATCTGGTCATTATCCCTGTTGTCACTGAAGTGTCCCATTGGTTGTTTAATTTCCACATTTAGATTTTCTACTTTTAAAAATCTCTGGTTATTTTTTCAGATCAACCTGGTCATTTTTTATTATCTCTTATACCCTCAAATTATATTTTAATATTATGTAACAATAGATTTTGTCCAAATAGGATGGAAGAGGAAGGAGAGAGAGAAGAGGAGGAGGAAGAAATTACAGAGAATGAGGAGAAGAAAGATTCAAGTTCTTTCAAGCTGAAAATACCTTCGCCACTGCTGCGGGGGCGGCTTCAGGTCTGTAGAGCTGAGTCTGCTGCACTTCATTTTCAAGTTTAAGGGTGGATATTTGTTGATTGCACCTAGGAAGAGAAGTCTGTGATGAGTCTCTTATTCATGGCTATTAACATTACAGCAATCTGCTCTGTGTGCCAAATATCACTTCACTGTTTTCGATATTCATCAAAGGAAGATAGCAACTAAGGTGGCCATATAAGAGATGAAAGCAAGTTTCTCAGGGGAGTCTCTAAAAAGGGGTTTAGAAAATACATCTCTGCTGAATTTATAGGCAATGCATTCAACTTACTTTTCAATAAGATGCCTTTAGCTACTAAAGTTGGTCAATGTTAGAGGAGATATTATGAGCTAGTCCTAAAAGTCTGGTCTCTAATTGACATGAACTATTCAGAATAGCTATTTTTTAATTTGCTCTTTTGCAATATCAAAATGCAAAGGGAAAGGGATATTCCCTTTATGGTTTCTGTATCATTAACCGCAGTAACAATAGTGCCATCTTGGGTTTAATTCATTAGTGGCTCACTTCATTTGGAAGTATATTAATTTTTTATAATAATAAAGCATGCCTCTTCCCGCACAATTTAAACACTTAAAAGCCATTTTTGATGGGAAACTTTTAAAAATATTTATTTCCTTGAAGCATTAAACTGAATAGACTTGGTAAACGCAATTAAATCTCGTCCTTGCTGCTCAAGGGTCATTAAGTAGCAAGTTCATCCCCGGCTGTGATACAGCATTGTCTCTAAAGCTACTGTTGCAGACTGGATTGTGTGATTCTAGACTGAATGGCCCAAGACTGTGATGTTGTGCATTTTACTTTTTATCTGTCCTAGTTCTAAGCATCAGGTTGTCTGTCAGTTTTGTTTCTCTCAGAAAATGTGTTATTTCTGATGTGGACTGTGCTTGATGGCCACCTTGATCATAGCGTGGTGTTAAATAAGAGAGAGGGAGCTGCACTAGAATCCCCAAGAGGGCAGTGACGGTGTCTGTTTGGTCACTCCTTGATACTGCCACACCTTGGGGCACCTGGGTAGCTCCGTTGGTTAAGCATCTGACTTAATTTGGCTCAGGTCGTGATCTCAGGGTCCTGAGAATGTGCCCTGTGTTGGACCCTGTGCTCAGCACAGATTTGCTTGAGATTCTTTCCCCTCCTTTCTCCCCCCTTTGCTCCTCCCCCACAGCTCATGTTCTCTAAAATGAATATATATATATATATTTTAAAGATAGCTCCACACCCAAACTGTGAGTGGTCGGTGTAGGTACCTGATACATATGTGTAGCTGTTGAATGAGCATGAGACTGTGGGTTTGCTATATGATTATGTTAAAGCCTTTTCAACTTCTACTTTTACAGCTATATTTCAAAGACGGGAGATTTCTAGATACTTAAGTTCTAGAAAAGTAGTGTATAATTGTGTCACAGTTACGGTTTTCTGAAAGCACTGTATATATCTCTCACCTAGCCCAAGTAATTCTTAAGGCATCTCTTCCCTTCCCTGGGTAGTAGTGGAGTGTCATTTTTATCTAACCATACAGTTTGACTAATTACCATGAAACACCATGAAGAATTTCCGGGGACTGAGGAAAGAAATTCCATCTTAAATGTTTTTTTTTATTTTTTTTAGCCTCATAAAGAGTGTTTCTTTACAAGTTTCTCAGTCTTTCAGTGTGTTCTTTTGTTTTACCCTTACAAATGCCTTGTAATTACTTTTTTCAGAATGATTCCTGGCCCCCCCCATTTTTTCCTTTTTTCTAACTCCTCTTTCTGATATCTATTCAAAAACACGTCCACATAAATTTCATTCTAGGAGCTTGTGGCTCCAGTGTTTCTCAAACTATAATGTGCATATGAGTCACCTGGCAATTTGATAAAAAGCAGATTCTAATTCAGAATGTCTGGAGTAGGGCCTGAAATTCTGCATTTTCCACGAGCTCCCAGATAATGCTGATGATGTAGGTCCTAGACTCACATTTGGAGAAGCACAGGACTAGGGGACATGACATTAGTACCATCAGCAATTTCCCACCTCACCTATAGTGACTCGTCCGTCTTTGCAAACTTAGCTGGTCTCACTTTGTAATGTCAGTGACCAGTTTGAGACATGATCAGAATCTCCTGCAAGGTACATGGGGTATTCTTTAGCCTGTGTATTCACTTTTATCTGGACTCTAAGGGCTCATTGACCATGAAAATGTTTAGAAATCTGACAACTTTAGAACCTCCAGAGTCATAGTAGGACATTTTTTTTTTTTTACCCATTCCACTGCATACAAAGTGAATTGCATACTTTCAAGGCAAAATTATTTCAAGAAATACAGCCCATGTTTCTTTTTTATGAGCACGTTACACTAATTGCTGGTATCATAAAAAGTCATTAACAAGGCTGAGAAAGTTTTGCAGGGTTGTATCTTTCATTCTGACAGGTAAAATTGTATCTCTTATACCTGAAACTCTGCCTTTGGAACTTGTAAAAAACCAAAGCGAGAACTGTTGAATTTTTCTTTAGCTTTCTCTTTTGGTGTGTTAACTGATGAAGCTTACCTTCAAAGGGTAGTGTGTTAATGTTACATGGCAAGGATTTCTACTTTATAGCTAAGGTCCAGGCTGTGACTCCCCCCACCCCCGCCTATATTGCTCTATGCAGACAGATGTGTGAGCAGCTGCTTGTTATGATTGCTTCTCCATAGGAACCAGAGGCATAAAAAAGATGAGCCAGAAAATTAAATGCTAGAAACTAGAGGTTTCCTCCCTCCACCATCCATCATTACACATTTTCCTTTATGACCCTGCAGTGCCCTTGAAGACAGAGATTTCCAAGAATCCATTGTCAGTTCATCAACCCTTCTCTTGGGAATACCAAATATACTCCTAATGTGTAAGAAAGAACAGATTTTATGACTTACGCCTGATTGAGTTTACAAAAGATTTCACAAACTTCACACTGTATCTGTGGTCAGGTTTATGAATTCGGCCAAGCTGGACCAAGTGGTGATCCAAAGGGTAGCTGGCTAGATCTTCCAGTTCCTTGTCATTCCAAGCCAGGCCAAGGGAAAACACAAATAGGGCATAACCTTGACATTTGGCTCTCAAGGATTCTTTCTTTAAGGTTTCCCTGTCCAAGTGACTGGTTTCCCCTGCAGATATCACAAATATGACTTTGTTTCTTCTCATATTGGGTGTATTTAAAAAAATATTGTCCAGGGTCCACTGTAAGGCATGACCGATGAAAGCATCTCCATTTAGTTGTTGAACTGATTCTTCCAGGTGTCTCTTCATGAGGCGTTTGCTATTGTAGGTGGTAAGGTTGAACTCAGTTCTAACAGGACTCTTCTGAGTGTTGGGTAGGAAGTTGGGGGGAGCATGGCTTAAGAGGGCTACCCGGTCTCCAGTGACAGAGGTCTCAGGCTCTGGGGTGATCTCAAAGTGATCTAAGAGTGCTCCCAAAAAGTGTCTTATGTCTTCAAATTCAGCACTTCCCACATGCCGGGAGCTGTCCAGAAGAAAAGCAGCATCCATGTAAGACTCTGCAGGGGGTGGTTTGGCTTGATCGCAAAAAGGGTCCGGCTTGCATACATCTGCAGACCAAAAGTCGCATAGGGTTATTAGTAAAACAGACTGGAGAAAAGATAGCATCTCAAATATTTTAACATTTGGAAACTGCATAGTTTTTGATATTAAAAGAATTATTAAATGACTTTGATATTAACAATGAAAGATTCATAATTTGCATCTGTATTTAAAATGTACAGATTTTACACCCAGCTGGCATCTTGAATTCCATTCACTAAGGCATCTATCTGACTTTTAAAAATTAGGCTGCTTTCCACAGATGTTTAATCTTGGCTGTATTTTAAGTTTATAAAGATTGAAGTGGACAGTTTATCTCATTTAAGAGTATACCTTTTCATGACGTAAAAGCTGATGATCTTTCTAGATAGACAAGACAGGTAAAGCAACGGTCCTTATCATTATGCTCAGAATCTTCTACTATGAAATGTAGTATGCTTTTAAAAATTGGGGAAAAAGCAATGAATTCTTATACTTCCATTTAAATAAAGGTTTGTAACTCAATGTCCACCTGGGTGTGGACACTAAGGACAAAGCTATAGCTCATGTTTGTATCTCCAGTGTGTTTATTAGTTGAAAGCTTAATACGTGTTTGTTAAATACATGAATATAAATATTGCATATTAATATCCTTTCATTAAAATAGGGTCATTTAAATAAATATGCATGTCTCATTTAGCAAAAGAATGTGTCGTAATAAAACAAAAAGTGAATTCCACTGAATCTGACCACAATAAATATTCAGAGGAATAAAAAAATTTGGAAATGGAAGGATCTTAGAGATCACCTAATCTAATTTTACAGAAGAGACTAATGGTAAGAGGTAAAATCATTCTGTCAAACAATATGCAAGTGTTTCTAGAAGTTTCTATATGGTGTGAGGTCAGGGTTTATTGTGAGAGACAGGGCTATGTGGTGGTATGGCAGTGGGAGGCCCCTTGGCCTAAAAGCCAGGATACCTGGGCTCTGGTCTTAGCCAAGTCACCACTAGGCCTTAATTCTGCAGAGTTAGGTAGGGGGGTCAGATTCACCCAGAGAACCCTTCCAAGGCCAACCTCTGCAATCTTGAGGTTTGTAGTAATAGTTAATGGTTAAGGCTGAGAATGCCTTTTTAAGGACTAAAGAAAAGTGAAATGGAATGACAAGCGTGTGGACAGCTGGCACTTAGATGTGTGCCTGGGGCAGGAATAAAAGCAGTCAGATGAAAGGTTAAAAACCAGAATGCAGGGGCGCCTGGGTGGCTCAGTGGGTTAAAGCCTCTGCCTTGGGCTCAGGTCATGATCCCAGGGTCCTGGGATCGAGCCCCGCATCGGGCTCTCTGGGCAGCGGGGAGCCTGCTTCCCCTTCTCTCTCTCTCTGCCTGCCTCTCTGCCTACTTGTGATCTCTGTCTGTCAAATAAATAAATAAAATCTTAAAAAAAAAAAAACCCAGAATGCAGATCCCTGGGGATGTAGCAAACTTTCTAACTTCAGTCTTGCTCATGGTCTCCATAAAGATGTGGCTTTGCACAAGTTATGTTTCCCTTACTGAAATTTGGTACAATTTTACGACCATGTTTAATGGTCAAATGACAGAACAGTCACCTGTGTGCTAGGCAGTTTCTAAAATCAGAGACAGCAGGCTTCCCATTTGCTCAATTTTGTGGGATTTTTTAATTGCAAGAAACGATAGCCAAAATATCTTCCCTTATATGCCTCAGAGACAAAACAAGGATTTAAGCCAAGAAATGGGGCCAAAATCTATCCCCAGTCACACATGTACAACTTCTGACTGTAACATACCAGCACAGAAGTGTAACTGATGTGTCTGAAAGCTGTGCTGAAGCTGGGGTGGGAAGCCTCCCTCACAGCACAGCCAGCCACTGCGTTGAGTAAGAGGACCAATGCCTACCCAGCCCTGTGCCATAGACAGGGACAGAGGGAGGGAGAGAGGAAGGTGGGAGGGAGAAGGGAGAAGGGAGAAGGGGGAGGGGAAGGGGAAGGGAGGAGAGAGACTAGTGAGTACTGGGCCACAGTGGAAGAGACAGAATAGAGGGGTGTCTGAAGCAATTCCACTTCTAAGAGTTACTGCCTCCCTGTGAGGTCACTTACATGGGAAGCACTAGCATCTCATTGACACACATGGAGAAGGAGAGGAATCAACCATTTTCTTCAAGACCAAATACCAAGTGCCAGGGAGAATAACAGGTCTTGTTACTCATAAATGGCAGTGTTGTGAGGCTAGCCTTTCTGGGTCTCCTCTGGCTGTGCCGTAGGCAAATTATCTCACCTCTCCAAGCCCCATTTTTGTCATCTGTCGAGTGGAGCTAGTAATAGTTCAGATGTCTCAGGGTGATTGTAAGGATGGGATACAACAACGAGAAGAGTGCTTGGAACAGAATAAGCTCAACTGTTTCAACATTAACTATCACCAGCACCACCACCAATGTTTTAGAAAGCCATTAGAACAGGGCATGGCTCCTAAGAAACATCTGGCAACTGCTAGAAATCACACACACTGATGACTGCAGTGGCTTCCACCGTCTTCATAATTATTGGATCACTCAACTTACCAGCATATACTCACCCACAGCTGCCTCTCTAGCTAGGCCTATAGATTGTGCATAAAATAACAGCCACAGACAAACCAGCATGGAAAATCTTTCTGATTCTTCTTTGCAATGAAAAATGTATGGATTTCTACTAATTTCCACTTGTACTATAAAGCATTTCTTGAGGGGTTGTGAACATCTGAGATTTAGAAGACACATAAATAAACTTTACAGCATGAAAACCTTGGCAATGAGATAGGCTGAGTTTTCCTAATAATGGTTACCGTTTCCTGGAAGCTGCAGAAGTGTGGAGGGCCGTAATGCAGTCCTCCTGCTAGGAGCCCTGCTGGCTGGGGCTCCATGTGCGGACCATGCAGTATGAGGAAGTGAGCCCAATGCCCCATGGAAATCTTCCCAAGGCCTCTTGTACCCCTGCTTCCAAGGTCCAGTTATTCGTGCCAACAGTGACTCAGTGTGCTTAACAGCCCTGATCAAATTATATTCTCTCGTGGGTCTTACCATAGCAGAAAGTGCACCGCTGGAGTCTCTCTAATGCTGGTGCGTAGTCAGTCCCAGATGGAACCATTATGACTTGGAATGTGCCAGTGTCATCAATCTGCAAGAAGCAGAAGCAAGAAAAAGAGCAGCTTAGTGGGTGGAGCTGCAGGAGTCCCCCAGGATTGTTCACAGCACTGAGATCTTTTGAATGCAACACTGCTCCTTCTGAAGGTCATAGGGAAGCCTAGTGCGTGTTAGGGTGGCTAGGAGCCCTGGTTGGGTTTAAGCCTTGGTGTTGCCTTTAGCTATAGGTCAGGTTCTTTTGTCTCTGTCTCCTCATCTACAAAATAATCACACTACTACCTAACAGGGATACACTGGGCATTAAATGGGTGCATAACTGAAATGCATTTAGTTGTACAGGGTGGGTGCTGTGTGGGTCAGTAGAGACCACAAAGCACTTTCCTATTCATTATCTCAACAACCCAGTGAGTTTGTTCTTATGTGCATCATGCCTATTTTACAGATGAGGAAGCTGCGGCTCAAAGGAAGGTGAGAGGACCGATCAAAAGACAATGCACATGGACATCGTTTAAGGAAGAGGGTCAGAGGACAACCCCCCCACCCCCCTACACACACGCGCCAAGTCCCAGAGAACCAAGTGAAATCACAGAATGTACTTTATTTTATTTATTTATTTATTTGACAGAGAGAGATCACAAGTAGGCAGAGAGGCAGGCAGAGAGAGAGAGGGGGAAGCAGGCTCCCTGCTGAGCAGAGAGCCCAATGCGGGGCGCGATCCCAAGGTCCTGGGATCATGACCCGAGCTGAAGGCAGAGGCTTTAACCCACTGAGCCACCCAGGCACCCCCACAGAATGTACTTTCCAACTGTCTCTGAGTTCCCATTATGAGCCAGGTATGGAAGCTGGTTTTGCAGACCCAGATCCACATCCAGGGGCTCTCCTCTGAACAATTCCCAACCCCTTCCAATTCAGTCCCATTGTTAGTAACCTCTCTGGGGAGTTTGAGGCTGGACAGCAGAGATAAAATAGCCTTCAAATAATGAAGAATAATTAGCTTGTCAGTTAACAGATTCACAGATCCATTGATAACTGAGGGAAAATTATAGGTATGGTCTTATCTAATGCCTAAGAGATGGGACAGACAACATTTCCCTACTCTTTCTCCGGAAAATGTCCTTTGAACACTTTATCCATAAAAGTAGGACTTGGGGAGCCATGTATAAGTGTGTGTGTGTGTTGGGGGGGGGATGCCATCTCTCTGCAGAGCAGATTGTGCCAGGGATGGACATCTAAGCCAATTGGAATAATTCTCTCAGGAATTTGGAATTGGGGTCCTGAGGGCAGTGAGTCCCTCTCTATTAGGGGTAAGCACTAATAGAGCTGTAGGCTGGCCATGCTCTAATTGAGGAGCAATGGGAAGGAAATGAGGGAAATGGGAAGGAAGGAAGGTGGTGAGGGCTTTCGCTAAGGCTTATCTTTGTTTCATCCCATCTTTTCTTCTGTGTAGAAGAGATGGAGAAATCTGTGCTCACTGGAATTCCTCCCTAGAAGACCACTGTGTTTGCCTTCATGAGCTGGATGGGTTAGAAGGGGAGACTCGGAGGAAACATGTGGTAACTGAAGCGTTTGGCATGATTTCTAGGCAAAATATATAGAAAAAAGAATGGTTAGTGCCTGGGAAAGGCTGAAAAGAAATAAACCGGAACGCGGGAAGGTGAGCATTGTTGTGGTATGGTCGAAGAGGACAAAAAAGATGCTGTGACAGGGCAGTGGAGCTGGGACAGGGGTGGTGGAGACAAATGGGGACATTCTGTAGAGGAATACAGCACCCTGCATTATGGTGCCCCTTCTTTTGACTCACTACTTCAGTGAAATCTGTACTGCCCATTGATTCTTTGTGCACATGGATTCCTGGAACAAAGGCTGAATCGTGTGTCCAGGTAAGCACAGAGTGAAAACAGAAACTGCTTACCTAGACTCAAAGCAGAGGACACCTGGGTTATAGTTGCATCTTTATAATAAATTTACCAGGGGTATGTGCATGTGTGTACTTAAGGTAGCTTAAATTGGTCTTGGCAACGTGTAAAAAACAGTCTTGACTCTTGAATAATACAACAGCACCATTAGTCTGTATTGTTAATGGCTTTTAATAGGTATCTGAGCAATGTTTCCAGTGAACCATGCCTTCACTTCATCTGGATTGTGATGAGTGACCAGGAAACCAAATCCAGAGAGCACGGATCAGACCATCTGGTAAGAGCACAGTGCTTTCTTATTGCCAACTATCAGGATCCAAGGGGGGAAAAAAATCACAAAATGTTTAAGCTAGGAGAAATCTCAGCAACTATGTAGTCCAAGCCTAGCATTTACAGATAAGGAAAGTGAGCCCCGAGGGGGTGGAATATGGGAGGCTCCAGTTTAAATTTTGCTTTCTCCAAATAAGACCTACTTCCCATCTACTGCATTAGCTGCTTTTATGATCACAGTTCTGTGTCAGGGAGTCCTAACGTAGTTTAGAGCAGTGTTCTGAAGATGTCATCCAGGGATTGCTGCCATTTGTTAACTAGTTTGTGTTCTGCATGTCTGTGTTGTGACAACTTCCACATTTCTGGCAGTGGAGCTGGTTGATAACGTAGGCTTCGCATTTAATCGTGTATCAACATGTTGGTGTCAACTGAAAACATCATCCTTCTCTTATGGAATTTAGTGTATTGCTTTACTAGGAGAGTTCACAGGGGGTCTGTGCTCTCCCTGTCCTCCCACCCCCTCTTCCCACCAAAGTAATCTCCTAGTCAATGAAGTTTGGCAGATGTGGTTTTAGTAATCACCACCACACATCACTAGAGCAATTATAGTTAGCATGTTACAGAAAATTCCTTAAGCTAAACGAGGATCGGGGATTTAAAATAAAAGGGTTCTATGGTTCACTTTTCTTAGCTCTCACTTTTTATTGATATTAAGTGCACAAATGGGCTAGAGGAGGCCTTTAGCAAATGGTTTGGGAAGACACCCTGTTCCCTCATTTCTAAACATCATGGGGCTTTATAAATTTGTGTGTTCAAGAAATGATACAATTAATACTATGTGTAACCATCTTTCTTTGATGGTTCATATGCATTAAGGAAATTGATTATCATTAAGTTCATATTCATTAAGGAATTCTTTTTAAAAATAAAAAGGTTGGGTGGTCAAAGTGCCACAGTTTCCCATTAAACCCCCTACCCCACCCATTTCAGTTCTATCTCCAATCACAAGAATAAACTGTAATGTCAATATTATACTTAATGTTTCTCTTATCTGTGATGCTAAAAAGCAGAGTAAAAGAAAAAAAAAGCCTAGCTAAAAAAAAAATCTCTTTTATAAGTCTATTAGAAAGGGAGACCCACTCTAGGTTAGAATTCTTTATGGGTGGCAAGTAAAATTTCACCAGAGGTAAGAGGTCGTTGCCAAACACACTTAGAGGGGAAAAGCTGGTGGCAAAACAAAGCCGAGACTGGGGTTTTTCCAGTCAAAAATGGCCTTCTGTTTCAGAAGGGATGAATAGCTCATCACTCAGCTTGATACCATCATGAGAAACTTCTAAAAGGGGTGAGAGGGTCACAGTCCATGTGTTAAGGGAAATCATGGCCTGTTGTCAGAACATCTGCTTCTGAGTCCTGTAGCATGCGCCTGCATGGGCCCAATTTTTACACTGGACTGCTCAACTCTCAGACGAATCAAGATTTAGAAAAGTCATGATAATTATGAAACAAGTTAGGGCTTTAAAATATGGCCCCCAAATAAAAATTCATTGTCACTAAATTTTTGAGTTCTGTTCTTGAAATAATAAACAACAGTTCAAGTATAGGGAAGCACAACTGAACAGAATGGATAGAAGAAAGAAAAAGAGGGCAAAGGAGAAGTAGTAACATAATTTCCCTTCTGTAATGCCAGGTATCAGTAGTGGGTTCTTACCAACTTGTATAACGTGCCTCTATTTTGAAACTTTTTAGATAACCCTGCTTAGTTCCATCCTCTAATGGCAACTCCATGAGTGTGGGTTTTTGGTTTTCCACTTCTGTGTCTCCACAGCCTAGGATAGCACCCAGTATACATGAGGTGCTCACTAAGCATTTGCTGGATGAACCAGATGAACTTAGCACCAATTCTGACTTCTGTCTGCACCTCTAATTCTACTCAAGATGTGTTTGGAGCCAATGCTGCTCAGATTTTGGAGGGTCATTGTCAAGAATTTGAATCTTCAGTGGTGATCTTTTGAGATAAAGTCCTTCAAGAAAGGAGCAAAGAGCCTCCAGCTGATTTGGCTAGGAACTCTGAGTGAGACTGTTAACAATCAAAAGATTTTAAAACAATCCAACAAAGTATGTTTTCTCAAGTTATAGGCTATGCACACACCTTTGAGTGGGTGGTGAAATAGTGTTTATTTAAATATATATTACAAGTACTATTTGCATTAGGATGTTGTCTCTTGTTTTGTGAATAAATAAAGCCAAGCGATGATGGGGCTCTCAATAAACAGAAGGAATTATGAGTCTGTATGTAACCATATCTACTCACTGAGTTTCTGAGCTGCTGTGCTTTACAGCAGCTTCACTTGCATGGCATGGCCCAGCCTTTTCTAACTGATGTGCATTTTCCTTTCTGAGCCTGGTCTATCAGCCTGTCCATTCGCATGTTCAATGACACTAATAGCAGCGTCAGCTCCTTTACAACCTAGATATCAATTTTGTTAAATAGATTTTAGTTCATCATCAAGCAGATAAACAATAACAATAGCAATTAGAGCAAAAGCTATCATTCTTGAATATTTACTATGTGCTAGGCACTGAGGCATGGTGTCCTATCATTTCACCTACACAATAGCTCCAAGAAGCAGGCACTGTTTTCCATACTTTATAGATTAATACTCCATTTCAATTCTGTTGTGCTTATTTGACACCTTCATTGAAAATTATGGTGGTGTAAAAGGCCTCGAAAGGCCCCCTGCAGTTTAAAAGTGAAAGGATGAAGAAATGTTTATCATGCAAATAGATGTGAAAAGAAAGCTGAGGTAATAATACTTGTATAAGACAAAATAGACTTTAAAACAAAAAT